TAACATTCTGTGACTGTTCAAATAAGAAAGAATATCGAACTAGATGAAGAAGATGGCAAAAAAATGTTTTTTTTTGGTTCCACTTGAAAAATTTATTTCGAGCGTGAAGATTTGACATCGACTCGAACACACATTTAAGCAAATATTGGAGGCATGTATTGTAAAATATTTGACACATGTAATAATGAAAGATATTTTAATGCCTCCAAGGCGAAAAGGCTTCAAGTTGAGGTTTACACAAGTATCTATAAAGAATTCATACAAGATGACAATGATGTTACACGAACATTATACTTTTGTGTATGATGACATAAAAATAGGATGTTTACCATGTTGCTGTTGTGCTTTAGCAAATATTACACATGTGAGTCTATAGATCAGTTCCTTTGTGGTCGATTTGATAACACCGATGGTTGCATGTGCTTGTTTGAAAATGGCATAGGAACCTTGATTGACTTTGGGGTGTTTCGTTAAGAATTTAATGTGTTCATTACAAATCAGTTGTTATTCCTAGAAGGAACATTTCGACTTAAACTTGTTGACAAGTCTAGTCTTGATGGAATTTTATTTTACAGAGTTGGAAGTTTTAGTTTAGTATTAATAAAGAAGGGAATCTATTTTTGGAATTCATAACCATCTAAAGCTCATTTTCTATGATTTAGAACCTAAATCTGTACAAAAATAATTGAGAATCAAGAGAGTCTAGTTAACATATTCAGGGGTCGAATTTTAAGGTTAAGGAAGGCATTCTTTCCTAATCACAATCTAATATGGTTTCATGTAGATACGTAAATCGGTTCTGATTCTACTTACTTACTTTACTTCCTTGGTTGGATCGCACGTGGGCCCATTGCTTCCAAGCCTTCTGCCAGTTCAGAATATTTAGGACTCTAGCGTACAGTCAAGACATCAAAGTCATTCTGCCATGACATCAAAGTATACAACATTATGTGCCAATAACTTGAAAACTTAACCCAATCCATGATCCTAGCTCAACAAATTTATATAGAGTATATTAAGGTTGATACCGACTAAAGTTACCTAAATTCCAACTCTGATTATTGAATCTTGTTGATATTGTGCAGTTGATACAAAAAGTAAACGAGTCAAGATGAAAACAACTTGTTATTTGTCATTTTAAAGTTGAATTCGAAATGAAAATTTTAAAAAGCTTGTAAATATTCAATTAAACTAAATACAAAGCTAAAGCCTTTATAACTTTTCAAAATCCCTCTGAAAAACACTTTTCCAGCTAACTTCTCAACATCCCATCACCGAAAAATATTCCATCTTACGTAAGGTCGGTAAAATTTATTACGCAACATTTTCATTAAATAAATTGTGAATTTATCGCGTGCCTTCCTTACGGCTAAAAGCTTCTTATGATTTTCCTTCTCTCCTTTTTCCCATCCATAATGAGAGACCTTATGTCGATTCTCTTTTTGAAGAGGCTGTTTATGTGATGATTAATTTAATGAAGGATGTTGAGGATGCTATTCACGAGAAAGGATGATAATTTTACGAGAATTATTATTGTAGAAGGTTAATCATGTGATAAATTTTGTGTGGGATGTGTGTTGATGTCTGTTTTGATGATGGAGGGAAGGGGATAGTTTGGATGTTACGTAGCCGATTGGCACAAGTCGGTTAATCCATCAGACTCTGGCATGATGCTGTATTTTAATCGAATCCAGCACCATTCCAAAGTCTTGCTGACTTGACGCTGGATTTTTAATTAACCGACTTGTGCCATTCGAAGTAATGCAAAAGGAGGATTTGAAGGGTTGTTTAATTGTCTATACTAAAATTGATTTCTTGTCTGAGGTGGCAATAATGTCAAATTCAGGATTGATCCAATAAATCTATATAGTTTGGCAAACTATTTTTTAAATTTGAGATTTAAGCATCTTAAGGCTTAAAAAAATTTAAAATAAAATCTTTCAAATAAATTTAACAGCCACAGTAGCTTACCAAATCCAAAAATTAGCTCAAACTATCAATAGCTCTTCAATTAAGAAATTGAAGCTTCAACTAAAAAGCCTCAAAGCTTAATAAACTTGAATAATTTCAAGCCACATAAGTGCATAAATTTCTTCTCACCTCAAAAATCTTCAGCCTTTAACTTCCACACATACACACAATTTAGGAATTTCTCCGAAAATTCCTTACATCTCCTTGCTACATGACATCATTCCTTAATATATTTATTAACATCATGTATAACAAGCACATATTTGGTGTAATTTAAATACGATAACGTGCACATCATGAACTCATTCATTGACTGAATGTTTCATATATGCTGATACATACGTATTAAGTTTGATATTGAAGCTATGAACAATGTGCGAACAAGGATGAATCTTTATTGATTATGTATATAATTTCATCGCATTGATGTCAATCTCTGTTTTGTGTGTCATGTTATTCTTCTTGACAAGGATATTGTTTTCAAAGGTAATCAGTGATATCCTTGATGCTGTGATACTTTTTAATGTGTTTTTTTTTCAAATGAAATAATTTAAAATTACCTAAAGTTTGTCGTTAAGTGCTGGATTTGAATTGGATGAAATGATTTCAAGGAGGGGTGTAGGCAGACATTTTCGGAGGAGGTCTTGGGTTAGCCTTTTTATGAATTGAAAAATTTTGGGTTGTGGTTGAGGAATGGGAGGGTCTCTGACTACACTTTAGCAACATTGTAGGCAATTTTTAAGAGGTCAAATGCCCATGATACTCACATACTGAACCTTATACCTTTATTACCTTATGAATAAAGATTGAGCAAAATGTTACACTAAAGCTCAAGATTGAGTAGCAGATCAATCAAGTTTTTGATCATTTTTGATCATTGTGGCGTCTGAGAAAAGTGGAATCGAGCCATACATAGATGAAACTGCCAGTTCAAGAGTTAGGCCTCTGTGGCGCGAGTGGTTAGGCAATAGATCAGATATTTGAAACCCTCTTATATGATGACGTGGTTTCAATTCCTACCATAGACCGATCTCTCAATTTTTATATAGAGTGTTGTCGATATAACAAGGATTCGAACAATGTTCACGACATTACAATCATTTTGATCAATTCCACAGCCTTGTTTCTGTCTTCATCATGTATTCTAAAGCAGCAAGTTGAATTCTACAAACTGGCTATCACTGAACTTAAAGTAAACGAAGAAACGAGCCCAATAATATATTTTAAAACTGACAAATCAAAGGAATTCCTCAAAAGACAAACAAATAAATCCAAATTTTCTAGATTCCCTCCCAAATCTAACGAGACCTCACAACTAGCATTATAATAAAGCTATTCAAGAAAATCTACACGAAGCAAATCAATAATTAAATTTTATAAATGCCATTAAACACGAACGATTTGTCTCATTGAAGATATGAAAATTGCGAGGATGGAAGCAAAATGAGATTGCAAGCTACACAACATTAATGGATTAAATGTAATATCAATTCACATACTACACACCTGAAACATTTCCCACGATGTAGCTGTAATAACACTAAAATTCAATAGCTTTAATCAATTCAATAACAATTTAATCCTCACAAATTTTACATCGTTCGAAACAATGCCATTAAATTAAAGACTCAATGTTCTTCTCATTCCATACTCATGACTGGATTAACATTAATCAACAGTCTGTAGCTTTAAGCGACTTTTTTCGGTTTCGATTTATGGGTTGAAATTTATGAAATCAATGGTAGACATTTATGAGTATCATATTGATTGGCTGTAGAGGATTCAAATGCTCGGTTTTTGATTCTATTTTAAAGCCTGAGCTGATTGAATACCCTAATCCATCCAAAGTACTTTCAATTTTGATAAATTATCTCAAAATACGTGATTTGATGTTATTTTTACCAAATATGTACAGTATATACTTATTATGGATGTATTACGTGACATTCTATATCCACATAGCATATTATTACGACAGTCAAGTATGTAGATATATTCTTCGGATTATTTTATGAATGGATTGAAATTATAGACTAAAATAAATGCAATTGAATGATTGATTTGATGCAATATGTTGATGGGAAATTAAATTGTTATTGTGTGGGTCAGAAAGGATTTTGTGATGTTGATAAGCTGGAATTTGGTTTATTAAATTATTATTCAAGGGAATGACTCTATGTGCAGACGATCCAAAAAGGCTAAAGCACAGGAAACAATTTATTAAAAATTCTATTGATGAAGTTTGCTTTTTAAAAATATAAGCACATGTTCTGTCAATTTTACGGGAATCTAATACTTAAAAGACATCACAAAAGCAATCACACTTACTTTGCTGGCCGTACAAATCAATTCTGATCCATTGCTTTCCTTAGATGGCTCTTGAAGCTGGCTCTATCGCTGGCTCCATCTTGCCAATCATCAATACCAAATGTAATACTGTCTCTGTCAACAGCTTCTTTCCAAGAGTTCTTGAAACGTCCGCGTGATCTTTTTCCATCTTTAAAAAGCATTCCCAAAGACTTTATTCATGAGAGCTTTAACAGATCTCCTAACAACATATCCAGCCCAATGAAGCCTGTTGACCTGTTTTTTCTTTCTTCAAGCAATCATAATTGTGGATATGGCTCGAAGAGCAAATCTGTAGTAAAAAGGCCTGCGCATAGGGCTCAAGTTGAACTGGTTATATGTGTATGACGGATAGCCAAAGTAAAATAAGTACCTGGGTGACCGAGTGGCAGTGATATCTGATCGAGTGGTCAGAAATCGCCTCTTTTGAGGTCGTGGGTTTGATTCCTATCGAGCCTGACTTGTTTTACATAAGCATACACATAAGGAAGTTATAGGGAGATCTTCAATAACCTGATTTAAATCTGAAAAATGACAATAAAATCCACACAGATCCCCTAGCACTAATCTACTATTTATTTTTCTATTCTAACCTAAAATTTACTACAAAACAATTATCAATGATTAACATTCAATTGATATTCACAACCAATTATTAGCACCACATCACTACAAACTGTAGCTTATAAAAACGACTGCAACAAAGTAATCAACGACATTGTACGACTCAAAATCAAATTGAATGTCGGTAATGATGCATGAAACATCATTGACTTAATTTTCACCACTTTCTGTGACCTCATTGATATGAAGACATAATGATCATCAATTTTCTCGCAATCATCACAAACTTCTGCAGAATAGTCCATGACTTTCTGCCCACCATAAGAATAAATCAATAAGTCCAAGAATGCAGCCATGCCATGGAAAAATGCTGTCATAATTCTTAATAAATCATCGCTCATAACAACTTGAAAGGCGGTAACGCAGAGAAGAATCGAAAGCAGCAAGAACTCTATGAAAATTACGAAGCTAAAGAGCTCGTTGAGTTTTAATGTCATGTCAATTACTTTTTGATGATAGCTTACGAAATCCTTTACGTCCATTTCATTAATAATTTTACGAAGAATTTTGTAATGTACACAGATGTTCAGGCAGAAGCCGAAGAAAATTGTGTCGACTGTGATCTGGAATTAAAGTTTAATTAGATGGTGGACATGAAAGGGTCATCAGAGCTACTCTAAGCATGTCAAGGAATACTAAGCAGATCCCTTCCTTAAGTTCCTAAAAGAATTAAGTCAATTTTATACTTACATTCAGTGTAATTGTTATATAAGTCCAATAAGTCTGCACCATATAAGTCAACGCATAAGCTGGAGACTGAGTTACATCATAAAAGAATGCAGTCTTGTAAGGCATGTCATAGGCAAGTACAGAGCCATAGAATATGCTATAAATATTCTTAATAAATGGGATCACAAGATATCCAACACCACCAATAAGACAACATCCTGATAAAAGTGATAAGACCAGCTTATCCAAGCTGTTTGCTTCCTTAATTAACTTGCTGTATTTTGAGAACTTCCATTTTTGATTCAGCATCCGGATCTCCCTAATAAGATCAAAAATGTCTTCCGTGTAGAAAAACAGAAGTGAAAACTTCATCAATGCCATAATTGTTGTAATGACCGGAGCCAGGCATTCAGAAATTTCAAGAATGTTTGAATAGTTCTCAGCCATAAAGGTAAGAAGAGTAATCAGACAATAAACGTTCACAATAACGTTGAAAATTTGAAGAATTTTAAAAAAGATTCTCCACTTCTTGGAAGGCGATTCCAAAATTCCACAATAAGTGATGAATTTAATTTGATGTTTAAACTCCTTTTCCATCATTTTTAAAAATAAATCCACAATTTGATTGACAGAAGAAGAAGCTAAACTTTAAATGGTCTTAGTCGAATGATAAACGTGAAGGAACTAACAATATGAAAATCTTAAGCAAATGTCTGATTGAATTTAAGAATGAATTAAGCTTCGATGTGAATCCTCAATTAAGTGTTTCATTTAGATAATAATTAGGTATGTTATATGCAAGAGCAAAGGAGTGCTGCCAAGGGGATAGGGTTGTTTTTTAAAAAATACCTTTACCACCCCCCCCCCCCCCCCCCCCCTCTTCCTCAAAAATGAAATGTGACTATAGTACAAGTCAGATTTAAATCTAAGCCAGCACAATGCTAGAGCAACACCGGCTTGGTGTTTGATTCTTTCTGATCGATTAACGAACTTGTGCTAATCGGGTATCATGGCAAAAAATAAACAACAAGCAGCAAAGAAATAACTTTCAAGTGTTATTCTTAAAAACCCCAAGTCTTAGTTTTCAATGACTATCTTTGAACCGTGATTCAAAGTTAAAATGCTTCATTAATTTTCATATTTATTTTGCAACATTAAAAAATTGCACATCAAAATATTTTACAAAAATGATTTTAACAAAGTTATTAAAGATGCAGCTCGACTCATAATCAAGCTGAAAATAGGCAATGAAATTTGATAGACAAACGATTCAATCATCAATGGTTTCTGGGTTCTCATCAAAATAAGAATAAAATTCTTATCATTTCCAAAATAATCATCACAAACTCCAACAGATGAATCCACAATTTGCTGACCACCATATGAGTAAATTAGCAATGCTAAAAATGAACCTAATCCATGAAAAAGCGGAGCAAATAATTTTAATAAATCATCTCCCATAGTAACTTGAAATGCTGTAAAGCAAATCAAAAGTGAAAGTAATGAAAATTCACCAAAAATTATCACTTGATAAAATCTTTTGAATTTTTGAGTAAGTTCAATTAGATTGTTGTGGTAGTCGACAAACTCTTTTAATTCCATGGTGTTGATGACTTTCTGAAGAATTTTAAATTGAGCGCTGATATTAAGGCAGAATCCAAAGAAAAAAGTCTCAGCTACAATCTTGAATTATGGATTATGCATTAAAAAACTCCCGAATATCAAAAGTCGGTTAATCGAATAGAAATCTAGCAACAATCAGGCTTCAAATTAAATCTAGCACGATACCAGAATCACACCGGCTTGATACGGGATTTCTGATCGATTAACCGACTTTTGCCATTTGGAACAAATATTTATTTATAATTAGAGATATACTTACAGTTATAGCAATTAAGGCAAAATACATGTAAGATTCCATCAATATAGCAAATAAAAATCCAGGCAGCTTATTAACATCATAGAATAGATGATGCTTTAAGGTTCCATCATAAGCCAATGGATCGCCAGACAAAAAGTTTATTAAAATCGTCACAAATGGAAATGCGACAAACATAACAGCACAGACAAAACAACACCATGAAAATAGTAGAAAAACTATTAAATCTTCTCGGTTTGCAGTCTTAATAATGTAAGAATATTCTGTAAACTTCCCTGAAAGTTTTTTAAAATTTTTTAAGTTCAATATTTATTAAAAGGTTCCAAACCATAACTTACAGATCTTATTTAAATCTCTGATTCTCTTTATTAAATCAAACATTTCAGTCGAACATTTATAAAATACTGAGCATTTAATTAGTGTTGGAATTTGAGTTACCAAAGCAGCTGAATATTCGGAAATTTCAAAAATTTTGGAAAAATTATTCAGAATGAAATTTGCCGATAAAATTATTCGATAAGAAAAAATAAAAATGTTAAAAATTTGAAATGTTTTAATCGCAACTTTCCATTTTTTTGGAACTGACTCGAAAATTCCATAATATTTTGATAAATTTATTTGATGCTCAAATTCTTCTCCAATCATTTTTATTTTGACATTTAAGTGATGCTATTTGTTTAAATGCTGTAGACACACTAATCATGTCTACAAGTTTTTCACACTTTGGTGATTGACATTCTTTAAACTTGATGATAATCGTGTTGAAACTAGCAATATAAAAATTATAAGTCTACGGCTATGGGGCCGTTCACTTATGACGTCCGACATTTAAGGGGGGGGGGGGAGTCTAGGATTTTGTGACAGTTCAAACAATGGAAATTTTTTTTCTACAGAATTTTTGTGACAGAGGGGGGAGGGGGTCTAAAAATCAGGTTTTTTGATGGACGTCATATATGAACGACCCCTATGTGAATCTTGTTAAATATTAAAAAAAATAAATGAAAAGCTAGCTTGTCATCACAAATTCAATTGAAAATAGGTTATGCATGATCAAAGTTAAAAAAATTTAAATTAAAAATAAATTTACAGCAGTTGTGACCAACCTTTTTTTTGATACGGCACACATTGGTGGTAAGCAATGAATGAAACTATGCACGGCATACGGTTCATGGGATTTTTCAAATTTTTCAAGGCACTAATGTGTCGCGGCACGTGGGTTGGCCATCACTGATTTACAGACATTAGCTCGATAATACATGGGTATAGGATTGACTCAACATAGCAACAGACGCTTAACTATATTGATGCATTAACTATGAGGTAGACTGAATAACATCAATTTAGTCTGTGGTACTTAATTGACTAGTGAATTCTTAAATTTCTTTTTATATCCTTATGCAAAAGACATTAACAAGGTTATCATTGCCATCACTCGATTCATAATCAAAGTAACTGTAGTCAGGCATGCATCATACATCAAAGAATATATCCGTAATTTATATTTGGTCCTTAACATGACGATAAGATAATTCTTGTCAATCTCATAACATTCTTTGCATACATCCTGTCCATAATCCATTATCATGTGTCCACCGTAAGAGTAAATCAGTAACTCAATTATAGTAGCCATGCCAAGGACAATACAAACAATTTTTATAAAGATGTCATCGCTCATCACAATTAAAAATCCATTTACACCAAGCAGGACTGATATGAAGGCATACTCTCCAAATAAAATAATTTTAAATATATCATTGAATGTTGCTATTAAATTGAGGACTTGATTGTGATGTATTACAGTTTCTTTTAATTCTCTTTCAGTCATTGCTAGTTGTATGATTTTTAATTGAGCACAAATGCTCATGCAAAATCCAAAATAAAGTGTATCGACACAAACCTATGAAAAAGTCAATGGCAGCAACTAAATAATGTTTGGCATCATTCAATACTTACATGCAGTAGCGTACCAAACATGCACAAACTAGCTTGTATGAAGAAGGTCACTTCATAAGCTCCAAATGAAGAAATGTCATAAAAGTAGTCAGTTTTGAATGGCATGTCGTAGCTTGGTTCATTAAGAATGAAAGCGGTGGATAGGTGTTTGATCATTGGGGGGAGTATGTAGCCTATAAAGGAACCAATTCCTAATCCTTCCATTATGTGCAAAACGCGTTGTTGCATTGCATTGAATTTTTGAATTTCCACAAAATGTTGGCTGTTCTTCCCTATATAAAGAACAACTAGAATAAGATCAATTTTATCCAGTCCAATTAGATCCAGTGAACATCCAGATAATGGCGAAGCTAGAAATTTTTTGATAAAAAAATTATAATGGACCCCCCCCCCTCTGGCTACACCCCTGTATCAAAACCAACTTTGTCCATTATAATCAGATCTAGCCAGTGAACATCCAGAACAACTTGAAAAAAACAGAGTTTATGTCCAACTTACATTTTCCATTCAGCTCCTTAATATCCTTGATCATACCAAAAATCCCTTGAGAGTGTGTCAGCAAGAATAAATATTTAATCAACGTAAAACTACTTACAACGAGTGGTGCTATACTTTCAGCAACATTTAAGACATTATTGAAGTTTCTAGCTATGAAAGTAAGCAGCATTATTGTTGTATAAATCGATACGAAAATTATGAAACTTTGGTAAATTTTAATTGAATTTTTCCATTTCAGCGGATTTTTTTCGAGAATGACACAAAATTTTAAGATTTTAATCTGATGATCAAGTTCCGGCTTCATTATTCTATAAGAGCTTTTCAATAACTAAATATTCAATCTGAGAATTTGTGCAGATGTAAAGAAAATTCCAAAAAGTCTGCTTAAAATTATTGTAATTAGGAATCAAACATTAACAATGTGAAAAATATTTGATGCAGGGATGTCTTTGGGTAGGATTTGATAAGGGGCTGTTCATAAGTGACGTCAATCAAAAAACGATATTTTTAAAATATCACCTTCCTCTCTTTTGTTACAAAACTTGTATGAGGACAATTTTCCAGGCTTGTTACTTGTTAAACTTCTAATCTTCATATCTAGGTTTCAAATAAACTAAGGCTCTCGTTTCGATCTTCTGTAGGCGTGACGTGATACTTTTCAGGTCCGTTCTTTCAATATTCCATTCGTGGGTTATCTTTTAGCTCTCGTTCCTATTTCTCGCGCTACACTTCAAGTTTCTGACCCGTTCCTTAATCCAACGTTGCCCAAATGCCCAATTTTGGCTTGATCTCCTACATGAAGCAGTCTAAGTATCTAAACTTCCGAAAAAGAACAAATTTGGAAATGGCTGGATTCGAACCGACGACCTTCGAGTTACCATACCAAATTTGAGCCAAGCGCCTTACCTATTTGACCAGCAAGGCACTTAACTGCTTAATTATTGTAACCATGTTTCTATGTGGTTACTTACTGTAACCATGTTCCTATGTATGTGGAGCTTAGGTTACAACAAAAGGTTTTCCAACGGACTCTGTTTCTGACCTTGTTACC